TGGGCTCAGATCATCCCAGCCCCACCCCTTCCTCAGCTGCCTGCCTCCGAGGGTGGGGAGGGCAGGGAGGGGAACATATCATCCTCCCCTGCAGATCTCCCCCAGCTGAGGTCTGTCTGGCGTGGGAAGGAAAGCACCCACTGCAGGGCTTTTCACACCCTGTGCATCCAGAGCTGGGCTAGGATCACCCCAGACCCCGCCCTTCCTCACCCATCCATCTCTAGGAGGGGGGCAGGGTGTTAGAATGCACCACCCTCTCCACCCCCGGCTGAGGTCTGCCCTGACGCAAGGACAAAGCTCCTACCAGGGCCCTTTTTGCCCTGCCTTAGCTCGAGTCAGGCTGAGATTGCCCCAGCCCTGCTATTTCCCAAGCCATCTGCCTCTGAGAGGGGCAGGGGGTGGGGACCAGGGCAGAGGGATCAGACCTCCTCTGCTGGCCCAGCACTGGTCCCCCCAGCCAACTTCTACCTGTGACAGGGGAAAAGCCAGAGGGCTTTTCGCACTGCCTTGCCCACACCCCGAGCTCAGCTAGGATACCCCAGCCTTGTTACTTCCCAAGCTATCTGCCTTTGAGCAAATGGATGAGGAGGGGCTGGGGCTGGGACCTGCAGGGATGTGAAAAGCCCCCTGTGGGTGCTTCTCCCCTGTGCTGGGCAGACCTTGGCTGGGACCCCCCCAGTGCAGCTCCAGGGATGTGTTCCCACACTCTGCCTCCACCCACCCCTCTTGGAGGCAGATGGCTTGGGAAGAAGCGGGGCTTGGGTGATTCCAGTCTGGCTCAGGATGTGGGGTGTGAAAATCCCTCCTGGTTAAAGCTTTTCCTCCATGCCAGGCAGACCTCAGCTGGAGGGGACATTGCCAGGCTAGCAGTCGGGTACGTTTCCCCCCTCTCACCCCTGCCCTCCTCCTCCACCCCTTTGGAGGTGGACAGCTTGGGAATGAGCAGGGCTGTGACAATCCCAGCCTGGCCTGAGCTGCTGAGGGGAGGGGGGAGGGCAGTGCTGGGCAGGGTGGGGACTATGTAGATTTTGGGCACTTTAGTAAGAGAATCTGTGATTTTTAAAGAGAGAAAACCAGGATTCCCAATTATAAGAATATATGCTTTTATGAATTTTTACCAGCAAATAACCAGATTTTCAAAATGCTAATCTTGCCTACCTATCCTTTAAAAAGAGGTTGATTCTATTTTTGGTTAGTTAGAATTGTACCTCAGAAACAGGTTACCCAGTTGTCAACACCTTTGTGAAGATCTGCCTTTGTATAAGGACACCTGGCAGGCCACTTGAAAATGATTCCCTTCCTCTCTCATCTCCTTTTTGGATTCCATGTCTACTTGGATATGGTTGGAAACATAGCCATAATACAATCCCAGGCTCTAGACTCTGGGCTGTCCAAGTTCCCGTGCTGAGAATCAGCTGATTGTTGGCATGGGGATAAGGCTCTGGTTCAATTTAAGGTGTCATACAAACCAGCCACAAAAATATTTTATGTTATATGTGAAACATCTTTGTGGCTGGTTTGCTATTTTATGGTGGTGTTATATGCTGACCATGTGGTATGTTGCCATTTATGGGGTAATTAACATGTTAACGGGGTCATAAATATATAATCTGCCTGCGAGGTTACACTGATGCCAAAGGCTATGCTAAGGAAGGTTATCCCTAACCTCCAAGGGATATGAACAGTATTTTCTAATCAGGTGAAATTCCTCATTGTGTTGCAGTGACATAAACAACACATTACTTAAAAAATTAAATTCAGAGGGATCGCACCATGAACATCCAAATAATTATACTGCTTCTCTGAACAAAATGCTATACTTGTGTCCCTTAACACACTGTATACCAAACCTTGAAAATTCCTTACAGCTAACTTCCTGTTTTGCCTGGGAACCTACTGTGATCACATGAGAGTGGCTTTTTTTTTTTTTTTTTATGTTTTTTTTTTTTTTTTTATGTTTTTTTTTTTTTTTTTATGTTTTTTTTTTTTTTTTTATGTTTTTTTTTTTTTTTTTAACTAGAACTCCATTCATAGGAGAGCATCAGTCCAATCAAACCACAAAAAAGTTAGGGAAACATTTATTAGTTGTTTAAAAATCTTTGGTAGTGAGTTTATGGAAAAGCAGATCTTTTTTTTGGCAGGTAGCTGTATACCAAACCTTGAATAACTGCATCTGAGATTTAGATTTTTATCAAGAAATAAAACATTCACACAAGCTTTGAGAGAGAATGAATCAGTGTGGCAATGCATGGATTGGCTAAATAGAATGGGGCAGGAGATGACCTTTAACCTGAATCTGATTTCTCATAGGCAGTGTCAGTACACAGAGTACTACTTTTCCCCTTTACTCCCTTGTGATTTCATCATTGTGTGTTATGACAAACACTGATGTTTCCAACATTAACCCTGTGTTGCTTCTCAGTAAAATTTTTTGACCTCTGTTTGACTTTTGTTAATATATAGCCAATGACTTCTTACTAGAGATGCACCTCTGGGAGCCATGGGGGGGGTTTGGGCTGGGCTGTGCTCAGGGTTGGCAGCACTGGGAGGGGGGCTAAGGTGAATTTTGGGGGCCCTGCACTCCCGCCATAACCCCCTCCCATCACCACCCACCAAGACCGCAGCTCAGCCCAACCCCCCCTGCCCCACATGCTAGGAAGAGCCCAGCACTGCCCCAGCCCCAACCTGCCTTGCCCATGCCCCACACAGACTCAGGGGCACATGCCCCCCCATGCCCTCCCAGGGTGTGCATAGCAGCAGGAGCTGCTCCCCCTCCCCCGGCATGAGCTGAAGCTCCATCCCATGCCCCACCCCAGCTGGGGAGTGCTTGCCCCAGCCCATGCCTCAGCCCCATTCCTCCCTCACCACAGGGGCCTTGATCTGTTCCCCCATGCTACTTCCCTTCCCCCCTCCCTTTCTACCACAACAGACTTACCAGCTGTACGCAGCTCTCCATGCTGTATCAGAAATCAGATTGGTATCAGCCAATATGCCTCTGTAAAAATTGGCTATCAGTATCAGCTCCCAAAATCTCTACTGGTGCACTTCTACTTCTTACCTGTTCTATCCTTCTCAGCCATTCCTTCTTCTGACGTTCCCACTCTCTCCGGTCTCTGTCCAATCTATCCAGAAGTTCTACCTTTTCCCTATTCCAATTCTTCTCACTGTGCTGGATTTGCCATCGTAGGTCCATCACCAAGCTGTGACTATCAGCCAACAGTTTCTTGTGTTCCTCTCTCTCCCTTTTAAAAGCGCCCTTTGTCTCTGTGGGGAGACCAGCTCCTCCTTGGATTTTTTCATTCTTGCCTTCCAACTACCATTAAAAGAAAAAGTTGTTAGTGGACTAGCCTCTCGAAGGCAAGGCCTACATCATAAAGGGAAGATCTTTTAAAAGTCACACTATTAATATTCTCAGAAAAGGATTAGCAGAATATTGCTAATCTTAAAGTACAGTTATGTGCTAGAAAGGCAACCATAAAAAAGGCACTGTCAAGAACATTCCAAACTAAATATTCAAAAAGTTACATAAAACATTTAAGGGGGACAAAGCACTATGTTAATTTCATTTTATCACAAACATGTCAGTCTCAAAAGCTGCTGATTTGTTCACAACACCAAGATAACAGAGTGACGGGACCCTAAAATGATATACATGGAGTAAATTCGACACCTCAGTCACCTGTGATAGTTCTGAAGGCAACGACATTCTTTTTCTAAAATAAGTATGTACAAGAGTGGTTTTGTGCACTTCCGCTTTTTTTTTCTGTGCATCTTCCAATATCTTTCTTTTTCTTGGCTCTAGTCTCCTCTCTCACCTGATTATCTACAGCAATGACCCAAAAATAAATAACCCCTCAGTTTGCTGTCCTTTGCTAACTGATGCAGAGTTGCCAGAGCTGACTGGAACAGGGTATGGTGCCCAGGGCAAATCGGCCTGTCTGGGCCCTGCCTCTGCCCCTGCCCCTGCCCCAACCCCATGCACCCTGGACCCGAAGAAACTGTCACTGCCACTGCCACTGGCAGCAATGGTGGCGGTGGTGGGGGAGGGGTGGCAAGCGGCTGGATGTAAAACCAGCAGCAGTGGTGCAGAGTTGCTGCAATCACTCTGCCCAGCTCTGCGGGACCCCTCAAAGCATGGGGCCCAGGACGGTTGCCCTGATTCGCACCCCTATCCCCCGGGACAGTCCTGAGAGTTGCACTGCTCTGGGGGAGAACAGTTAGCAGTAATATACTACAGACAAGCATTATTGTCTATGTGCTTGTGCTGCATGGCCACTTGGGTGGATATACTGACTAATAATAGCCAGCTTTGTTTCCTTCCAACTTCTGATCCTGGTGCATGCTTGCTAACACTGTCCAAAAATGGCTGTAAAACATAACTTAAATGGCTGCAGGAACATGTACAAATGTGCCAATGGTTAAACTCAGAAAGTAAATAATTAAAAAGATGGTTTTGTTCTTTTTACATTTCCCATAACCTGTGTTCAGCTAAGTCCAGTTCCACCTAATGCCTCAAGAGGCAGCAGAAGGGGAAGGCAGAATTAGCACTGTAGCCACTCTGCAGGGGGTATGCCACATCACTGTAGTATTCAATGTGGTACAATGTTTAGAATTGTTATGGGGGGTTTGTTTTGACTGTTGCCTTATTTCCCCTGGGTCACAATGAATCTGCAAACTCTTGCTGGTTTGCTTAGTAGCCGTAGCATAACAGAACTGTGCATTCCACAATGTTCCTGCAGAGCCAAAGCCAGCAACATCCTTTAAGGTAAAGTGAAGTAAAATGGATGTGGGCTCCTTTCCTCTGAGCTTGAAAGTGCATCTCCTAGGACATAGTTTCTACATATTTGCAGGTCATCTCTCAAGACATTAATGGTAATGTGGATTTTGCATCCTACAACAAAAGCTCTAGGCACTGGCTGCTAAAGTGCCTGGAGCAACTCCAAGCTATTTGGTGTGCAGACCTATGCTTGTATGTTTGCTGTTGCTTGGGGAAGAATGGCACAAGAACCAGTAGCTGTGGTTAGCATGCTGAGCTGTAAACACTCGCCACTGATTATGACTAATTTTCAGGATGACCTACAGTGCTAAAGTGCCAAACAGCCTCAAAACAAGTTTCCCACCTTTTGTAATATTCTGGTAACATAGAATTTTTATCTTTATCAAATCCATTATGGTTTGGAAATTAAAAAAGAAAACAGTGGAAAAGGGAATCTTAAAAAGATAAATGATCTTTCTCCAATTGTCCAAGAGTAAAACCTTTCCCTTGTTATTACTGATGATGAATAAATGTAGGAATGGTGAAGTGGAGTGGTGCCAAAGAAAGTGTAGATCCATAAGCCATCCTGCCTGAGAAGTGTAGAGATAGCTTGGAAACACAGCAAGGGAAAGGGATGTGCTCCAAAGGGGTGTGTCTGCGAAACACCTCTGAAGTGTACTGTGGATTTAAGATTATGCTCAGGGGAATTGGTGACCAGACTACAAGTCCCAACATGCCAACAGAGCATGCTGTAAAGTGTCAAAGAAGCATGAAAGCCAAACCAGCATGCCAGAATTCACCCTAATGAGGATCCACTCTGCCAGAATCCATCCAGTCTATAGACTGATGCAAGTGCTCTTGCTCAGGACTTGGCCCTTATATTGATTCCCTCAAATGCTCTAAGTTCTTCTAAATTATTAGAAAAGGAAATGTTTTAGTTTGTCTGTCTCAAGGCTAAGCATTATTAGAGTCCAGCATTCAGGAATTACCACTCTACATCATATGTTAAAAGCAAAGCCTAAATATCTCCCTTTAATGCAAGATGCATTAAAGAAAACCCATGACAAGCAAGGTCTTATGTTGAATGATATACACTCTGTTAAACCTTTCTGTTGTTCCTGAAAGCAGCAGGCAGCATTGCATCATCTCTGGGCCTGGCAAGTAGCGCTTTTCTGCAGGATGGGGGATTTTATCTTCCCAATATAAACTTGCTTCAGTAACCTTAAATTAGCAAGTGGCTATCTCAAGGAAAACCATCTTTCCACATTAACCTCCTGCTTCACAGCATACAGGGACAAAGACAGCAAGGACAGCGAGACAAACTAAGATGACCGCTGATTATGTACTGTCAAATGTTGGGTGCTTTTGTAATCTCAGTCAATCCAAAAAAAAAGACTGCAAAAAGGAAAAGAGATCTCAGTAACTTTGCCCGTGAGGAAAGGGAGTGTTTCTGAGTAGAAACTTAAGCCAGCATATGAAGGGACGTTTGTCCTTATCTTTTTCCAGAGAAGGGGTTCTGTACTCCTTGCACTATCTTAGCTATTAGTCTAAGAAGACATAACCACCATAACATCTTGGGTTGCAATATGACCTGGGGGACTTACTTGGATGCTTGATTAAACTCTTAATGCTCCACAGATTTTCACAATAGAGGAAAGGATATTAATGCAACTACTTCATATTTTATATTTGACAAATTATTCATCAGTTCCTCCCCTGTTGACTCTGAAATGGAACCTGTGTTAAAAATATTCTGGGTTTTGAATCTCTAATAATATCAGGTTTTGTTACATGCGACTTCTTTGAGGTTGCAGGCATTTATTACATATTGCAGTGGGATGCTGATATCATTCTTGGATTGCTTTGGATTCTTGGATTTCTGTAATTGGCACTGATTTATAGCAATGTTGTGCTAATGGGCTTGTTTTTGGCCATGATATGCAAATACTGCTCTGGGATGTTGGTAGGAAAATGACCTCTCTGTGTTATTTATTGATCAGTTTAGACCTCTGAATTTATTTTGGGAGAGGGGAAACCCCCCCCCCCCCCCAA